AAGCAGGAACCCCTTACCATGCCCAATCTAGTGGGCAAGTTGAAGTGGCTAACCATGAGCTTAAATGAATTCTTGAAAAAATGGTTAGTGCTTCTTGTAAGGATTGGTCTGTAAAGTTGGATGGAGCTCTATGGACGTATAGAGCTGCGTTCAAAACAACCATAAAGACTTTGCCGTTCAAATTAGTGTATGGGAAATCGTGTCACCTACCTATTGAGATAGAACATAAAGCTTATTCGGCAATTAAGATGTTTAATCTTGATCTTAGTCTTACAGGTGAACATAAGTTGGCGTGGATGAACGAATTGGAAGAGTTTAGACTGGACGCGTTTGAAAATACGCAAATTTTTAAGGAAAAGATAAAGAGGTTTCATGATAGCCTGATTAAGCTAAAGGAGTTTCATGAAGGGGACATAGTCTTACTATTCAATAGTAGACTTAGGATGTTCCCCGATAAATTCAAATCAAGATGGACAGGTTCGTATATGGTGAACCATGCCTCATCATATGGCGCCATTGAAATCCAGGACGAAGAAGGAAATGAGAGCTTTAAGGTGAATGGGCACAGGTTGAAACTGTATCTTGTTGGAAGTTTTGACAAGCAATCCTTTACCATCGTGATCAAATGAGCCTAAGTGATGGAGTCAAGCTGACGACTATAACTCAGAACTACTTCTAACTTTTGTCTTGTTTTTTACTTTTTTTATTTTTTTTAAAATAGTTTAATTGATTATAGATTAGGATTGATTGTACTTTAGGAGTTATCAGAATGAATTTGACACAGAATGAATTTCAAGCACGAGGTAGTAGTCAAGAAGCAGGAAATTAAAATGAGAATTGTGCAAAGTCTTAGCATTTCCTGCGTCGCTCTGTGCTACGTATAAGGCATCGTTAGTGCAGATAATTGTCAGAGTTCAGAAATTGATCAGAGAGTTGGCAGGCCTCTAGAGTGAACTAATGCATCACGCTGTGTGACATGCTATTTGTCGCATTAGCACATATATTTTTCATGGGTTGCCAAACTTCAGAGAGCTGGCAGACTACGAAATAAACTAAGGGGACGCATTGGGCGTCGCACATTACGTCGCATCAGGTAAGTTTTCTCTTTTAATTTGAAAAAAATGAATTGGCCCCACCCCACCTAAAAACACTAAACATGCCCGACCCCTAACACACAGAAGCCCTCACTCTCTCCCAAAACCCCCAAAAAGAAGAAAAACAAAGTCCCCCCCTCCCCCGAGCTCTTCCTCGCTCTTGTTCCCCACCCTCTCACTCAACTCCCTCCTCTGTCTCTCTCCTTGCAGCCAGGTATGTTCTTCTCTCTCTCTTGTTGGTTTTTTTTATAGTCATTGTTAGGAGATTTTATTGAAAGAAAAAAAATCAAAAAACAATAGGAAACGAAAAAACAAAGAAAAGAAGAGGAAATTCAAAATTCTGTAGTTGGTTGTGACCTTGGGATCGAAATTTGTCCAACGTCTTGTTGGTTACTGATTTTCCCTAATGCATTATTGGTGTGGGTGTTGTTTAGCATATGATTTCTCTTGGATTGGGTGATTTTGGGCGAGATTTTGCTTTGATAATGTATATAGTTATGCCTCTACTCTTTTGCATGCTTGGTGTTTGATTAATTGCTTGAATGGGAACGATTGCGATTATGATCATGTTGGGTTGTGTTGGCTAGAATGTGATGTAAATTATGAATTTGTGCGCAAGGGATGGTTGTTCATAGTGTATAAATGCAGTGTGTGTAGAATTGTCCACTAGTGCTAATTGACTGCCATCCTAAGCATGTAAAGCCTAGATGACACTTTGTTGTGCTTTGAAAATAAGTGGCTTGAGTGCGTTTTATTCTCAACATTGTCATCAAGAAATTGAGTATGGTAGGTGTTTAACTAATTTCTTGAACGGAAGAATGTTCCACTATTGATAACATTTCAGGTGATGCCCACAGCTGCTTCTCATCTTTCCACACCAACAAATTCATGCCCATCAACACCAGGTTCTCCTCACCACCAACACCGACTGCATCACCTCCACATGCAACAAATGATCAAGAAAGGGGAGCTTCTCCTCCTCGGTCTCCCGACCATGGGAATTTGGGGCACAATTATTCAACCCCCTTCCATAGATCCTCGAGGGAGGAGAAGTGCCACTCTTTTAGTTTTAAACGAGTGACATCTTTTGTCCAAGTCAGTGGAGCTTGCAAATTATCTGAAGTTATTAGCTTCGGAGAAAGATTGGAAGAAAATAAGCTCCCTTTTTGGGAGTGCTTGATAAACAATGCCATGCACAACGCGACGCAGGTGCCGTACTTATTTTGTTATATCTTCTTTTCCATTTACTTGCTGAAATGGAAATCCTAACTTTGATATTCGTTTTTACTGGCCAAATTTCTTGCTTCTGAAGGCCTGCAGAGATTTATCCTTGATGAACAAGGACTCGCTTCTGAGCGGGATCAACTGTTGGCTGAAAGGAACCAACTTGTTGTGTGCCTCCTGGTGTTGGAGGCAAAAACTGCTGAGATGGGCGAGCTTGAGGGCCGGTTGCAAAAAAGCTAACAAGATAAAATGGCCCACAACCAAGAAGCCACTCAATTACACTAACAACTTCAAGAGGCTAAGGCTAAGTGCACCGAGCTCCATGACGATGTGCTTGTTGTTGCTGAGAACGAGTCTGCCTTCGAGGAGCAAATAAATAATTTGAAGGCAAATTTAAGCTCCAAAACCGAGGAGGCCAATGTTGCCGATGAGAAGAGGGCCAAAATGGAGGAGAGGCTCAAGAGGCCATGGATCAGAACCGGATTCACTCAACTGCAAATGTTGAGCTCGATTCTCGCCTTTGTGCCTTGAGATATGAAAGAGACAGCCTTCAGGCCGAGATTGAAAGAATCCAAGAAAAGCTCCAGGACCAAGAGGATTCCCTTGTATTTGAGAAGATTTATGCTATATATCATATGAGAAGGAAAACCTTCGAAGAGGTCAAAGCGGGCATCATCGATATTGATGATTTCATCGTCAAGGCCTGAGAATTTGAGCTAACTACTCGAGAAAATCTTCCCGCTCAGCCTGCTACAACGGAATCTTCGAGTAATGGTTCCGAGTACTCAGGAACCGAAGGGGAGTTTAAAGAAGATGAAGGCCCCGTACTGGTAGTGGATCCGCCTTCCTCTACCAAAGGAAATGTAGATCCCTCTCTCCCTTCGGGTTCCGGTGGCAATGCTGCATAGTTTATTTTTCTCTTCTGTTGCTCTCTTTTTTTATTGTACTTTATAATTGTGCCAAATCTTTCACTGAGTTTGGCACTTGATAAATAAATAAGGAATTTTTTCTTAAGTGTTATGCATAATAGCTTTTGATTCCGGATATGAATTTCTTCCAGAATCACCCTTTACTATGAGTGTTTCATAAGAGAGGGCCCTTAAGTTTACGGTTCTCTTGAGTAGGACATCTCATGTTCAGTCCAACACAAGCATTTGAAGTTTTTATTAACTTTCAAACGATAAAATTAACTTATCATTTGGGCAAGAAATAAGATAAAAATAAAAGGACGTTATTTTATTCCTTCTATATTCAAAAGTACATAAGCATTCATTTGCTATAGTAAAAACTGCCAATACATGTCGCTAACTTGTAACACTTATTTCAATGGGGCTGGTCATGCAGTCTCCGACCCTGATGAGAAATTATTACTCCCGGTTCTATCAGCCATCGATTTTTGTGGTATTCTTGTTACCGTATGATATTCGGCTTAAAGTATGCATATTTTATGTATATTGCCTTGCATTTTGCTCATGTCTCATAGATTTCGGATTTGTAATATAATGGTTTGTGCTAATTTGTTGTATTTCTATGTGAAGGAATCATCCGTATGGGGGATGATACTTTGAGAGAGGAACAAAAGTATGAAACACTTAGGAGCACGAAATTAATCAATTCTTTCATTCTTCTTTTGGTATTCATCAATTTTATGTTTGAAAATAATATTTTGATGATTGTTATGAATATGAGTGGCCAACAACCCTATTATTCTAGGGTCATCGGTGTTACATGAATGTTGACGTTTGGAGTTTAAATTGACGAGCTTGATTTTATCATATTGGGTTGTTTATTAAATTCTGTTCTTAATTATTTGCAGCGTAGCTAACAATGAAATACTACCTACAAATCTGGAATTGAAGTCGAAAGTGGGAACTCTAGATTGCATATAATATTAAATAGAGCAAGTTCTTGAACCCCGAGATCGGGAAACGGAGTCGCGGTTAGGATAGAAATATACCTAATTGTCTTGCTTGGCTGAAATACCGGAAGTGTAAATGTGTTCTTGTTAGTCTTAATTCCATAGACATATAGGCATTAAGTTAGCTTAAATAGGCGAGTATGAACTAGAAAGATTCTTACGAGTAAAATTAACCCTGTCAATCAATTAGTCAGTTTAAGCCAAGAACGCAACAAGAATTTTAGCGAGCCTATGACCTTGGAATATCCTCTCCCACTGAATTTATTCGAAAGTGCCTACGTATTTTAGTCGATCTCTAGTTTTTTAACTATTTGATAGTTTCTTTGGTAGTTAATTAATCACCTACACATTTTGTGAAAAATCTCTTGAATAGATAAGTAGTTTGAGTATGAATCAGTCAAAAGTTAATCATAACTCTATGTGGGAACGATACTCTACTCACTACTTTATCACTTGATGACCACGTATACTTTCGTGTGTGTTTGGTCGCAACAAGTTTTTGGCACCGTTGCCGAGGACTTAGAAATTAGCTACTTGTCTGAGTTAAGATTTTATTAGTTATTTGTTCAAGTTTTAATTTTATTTTTGCCTTATTTGTGTTAACACATGCTCATCTCTTAAATGTGGAGGAGTAGAAGCGCAAACAACCTCCTTCCTATTGATCTTGAAATAGAACAAAGACTTCATAGGGTGAGGAGGGAGTCGAAGATAGAACTATAATATCAAAAGAGTTGGACATTGTAGTTCAACCACAACGACTGGAGATGGCCGGTAATGAAGAGCATGCGGTGATAGAAGCTGCAAGGCCCAATCTTGCTAATATGACTCAGGCTATTGTGAAGCCTAATATCACGGGTCACTTTGAACTCAAATAGTACATGGTATATCTGATTCAGTCCACAGGGCAGTATGTGGGTCTATCTCATGAAGATCCGCAGCGGCACATTCAGAACTTCCTGAAATTATGGATACTTACAGTTATGCGAATGTTTTCAAGGACTATGTCAGGCTGACATTGTTCCCCTTTTCATTGCTAAGGGAAGCCAAAGAATAGTTGCAAAAGGACGCCGCGAACTCGATCCACACTTGGGATGATCTAGCAAGAAAATTCTTAATCAAGTTTTTTCCCACTAAGAAGACAAAGTCGCTGAGGAGCCGGATTCTTGGGTTTCAACAATGGGATGGCGAGACTCTTCGTCAAGCTTGGGAAATATACAAGAAGCTACTCAAAGACTGCCCTGATCACTGTCAGACTGATGAGGTGTTGGGTCACACTTTCGTTGATGGGTTGGACGAGACATCAAAGATGAATTTTCACTCAGCTTATGGGGGTAGTTGCATGGCAAGGCCGTATAGTGAAATCCAACTCATACTAAACAATTTTACTGCTGATGAAAATAATTGGCAAGGAGATGGAGAATCACGAAGAGCACTTAAACAGAAGGCAGATGGTGTAATTGAGCTTGATGACTTCTCAACCATGAGAGCAGATATAGAAAAATTAGCAAATCAGATGTTACATCCCGTATTTTAATATTAGGATATGTCGTAGTAATCCATATGTGCTTGAAGGCATTAAGACCATTCATGAGATTATAGAGGAATTGTGACTATGTTATTGTAAGATCCCGTAAGCTTAACAACCTTGATACCATTATATATATATATATATATATATATATATATATATATATATATATATATATGATTTTATATAGTTATTAATATTACTACTTTCAATTATACACATAATATGAGAAAGTTTATGAGATTTTCTTTATTGTAAAGATAGAAATTATTTTCTCACAAGAAAAGAAAGTTATCTTTTTACCAATTTAAGAATTAAGCGTACGGGAATTTCACTCTTTATATGAGACTAGGAAAATTATACGTTGAGAAAATATGTGTATTTTCATATGGATGTTTTAATGAAATAATAGTGTATGTATTTATTTTATATGGTACCACATGACCATGATAGTAAGATGTATAATGTGTATTAAAAGTGAGTAGTATTTTAAGTAAATTGAGATAATTCTTAATTATGTGAATAATTGATTAATTGTGGAGATAATTATGATATTAAGTGGATAAGTGTATTTTGGGGGTTGCCACGTGGCATAAACTAAGCCAAAGTGGCAAAATACACAAAATGAGTCATTAGAAAAAAGGCTATCTTGTAAACACGTAAGAATATTTGGTCTATCTCTAACATACCTTCATGTGTTATAGAATAAGAATGGCCATTTTCCCTTGGAGAAAGCGAGATCTATGGATTCTTCTTCCAGAGTCAAGGCTAATTAATTGAGTTATTTTGGATACAAGTATAAATTTGGCGACAAAGGTATGTTAAAGCTATCTCTTCTTTCTTTTTGGCATGATCCAAATAATATAAATGAAACGAGCAAAATAGCAACTTTCATAAATGACTCTATTCATAAAAATACTAGGGGTGTAAATATTCTTGATTCCCCATGTGGATTATTATTATATATTCTGTTCATGGATCGCAAAAATATGCATGTTGGTAAAAATTATTTCATGATATTAATCAAAGGCATAATTGTCTCATGACGTACCGAGAGATTTTATTAATGTATTTCATAGCATTTCATGCATTTATACATGCACATTGACCCATGACCAGATGGCGTTATATACGTGTTTATATATGTATGTATATGTATATGGGATATGGGAAAGGTTATGGCGTTATATACGCACCACCACCTGATCAGCTGGTATACGTTGATGATTTTGCCCACAGTGGCACCAGATGACATTATATACGCGTATATATGTAAATATATGTATATGGGATATGGGAAAAAGGTTATGGCGTTATATACGCACCACCATCTGATCGACTGGTATACGTTGATGATTTTGCCCACATTGGCCGAGATGATATGATGGGATGCCTTCAGAGGCATGATGATGTTATAAACACATGTACCTATGCACGACATGACATTCATACGCATATGCATGACACTATAAGTATTTCAAGATTTACGGAGTCAACCAGACTTACCGGTTGAGTCACTTACTCTATATTTCTTCCATGTCTTTAATTGATATTGACTTATTGTTATGTTTCAGCTCTGCCTTACATACTCAGTACATTATTCTTACTGACGTCCTTTTGTTGGGTACGCTGCATTCATGCCTGCAGGTATAGACAATTAGCTTGACGAGCCCTCATAGTAGACGAGGTTAGCATTCAGTGAAGGATCGGTAAGACTCCACCTCATTCGGAGTGCATCCATGTCTATAAGTCATCGTGTCAGAGTTTTGCTACAGACTTATGGGTAGGCCGGTACCCTGTCCCATTTTATGTCAAGTAATCTCAGAGGCTTTGTAGACACAAATTTATTATGTACAGTATGTCAGAGGCCTTGACGGCCCATATGTATTCATATTTTATGAACGATGGTTCATTGATGTAACATTTGCCCACTTACAATTGTACATTACGAGTTATGGCCATGTCGACCCATGATAGTTAAAAAAAGGAGTGAATGAGTTACAGAGTGGTTCACTCGGGCCAGTGCGGCACCGAGTGCCAGCCAGCCTCCCAAGGTTGGGGCGTGACATCAGATGAATAGAATGAAAATGCACCAAACGCAACAGATGTCTACTTGCTACGAATTATGTGGTAGCAGTCACACGAGTGACATATGCCCCACAAATCCTGAATCTATCTATTATGTGGGGTAACAGAGCAGAGGCCTGATAAATCAGCATGCACAATATGGAACACTTACAACCCGAATTGTAAGAATGATCCTAACTTCTCCTGGGGTGGAAATCAGATAACTCAGAATCATTATAGACCCCAAGGAAATTTTAATCAACCTCAGAAGCCACCCCAACATGTAGAAGAGAGTACGAATGATTTGTTGAAGAAGTTATTGCTTGACAATCAACAACTCAGGATCGATTTCAGAAATCTTGAGAGACAAATGGGGCAGCTAGCGTCAAATCAAAATACTAGGCCTGCAGGCGCTCTTTCCAGTGATACAGAGAAGAACTCTCAAGTTAATGTAGTCAGACTTAGAAACGGGAGGGAATTAGAAAAAGTGCCAAAGAAAAGAAGGGATAAGCCTATACTTGAGGGGAATTTGATTCCTAAGGCAACACATGAGTCAAAGAAAGATGATGCAAGTTAAGAGCAGTGAGTGCCGTAAGGCCACCACCACCTTTCCCCCAAAGGTTACAGAAGAAGAATATTGATTGCATGTTTAACAAATTTCTAACTATTTTGAGTCAAGTTCAATTAAATCGTCCATTGGTGGATATACTTTGTGAAGTTCCAAAATATGCTAAGTATATCAAAGATATAGTGGTTCATAAGAGGAGATTGATTGAATTCGAGACAGTCACACTTACTGAGGAATGCACTTCGAGGGTCCAAAACAAGCTTCCTAAAAAGCTTAAGGAACCTGGCAGCTTCACCATCCCTGTGCGGATTGGTAATATTGATGTGGGCTACGCTCTTTGTGATTTGGGGGCGAGCATAAATCAGATTCCCTTGTCCTTGTTCAAGAAATTGGGTTTGGAGCTCCAAGATCAACCACTGTGATGTTGCAACTAGCCGATAGATCCATAGCCTACCATGAAGGAGTGATTGAAGATGTGTTGCTGCAGATTGGGAAATTCATCTTCCCCGTGGACTTATTTATCCTAGATTTTGAGGCTGATGAACAAGTTCTAATCATATTAGGACGACCTCTCTTGGCTACAGATGATGAAATTATTAAAGTGAGAGAGGAAAAATTATTATGAGGGTGGACAATAAGGAAGCAGTGTTCAATGTCTACAAGGCGATTCAACTTCCCCTACATTATGAGGACCTCTCTATGATATTTGTTGTGGAGGGGGAATGAGTAACTTTTAGACCCGAGTGTATACCTAGACGATTCTCTAGAGAAAGCACTCATGTTGTTCGATAGGTTGGAGATTGATGAATAGGTTTTGGAGAAGATGTATATACTAGATGCATCCTGTGTCTACATACACTGATTAAATCCCTTTGAGCCCCTAAATAGGCCAAGTGGGCCACCACCAAAGTCATCGATTGAAGAGGCTCCAAAATTGGAACTTAAACCCTTGCCCCTTCACGTTCAATATGCTTATTTGGGTGGTTCTGACACTCTACCTATTATTGTTTCCTCTTAATTGTCTAAATTGAAGGAAGAAAAGCTGTTAAGAGTGTTGCGTGAGCACAAGCGAGCAATTGGGTGAAGAAAAGCTGTTAAGAGTGTTGCGTGAGCACAAGCGAGCAATTGGGTGGACGACGTCTAACATTAGTGGCATTAGTCCGGCCTTCTGCATGCATAAAATCCTCATGGAGAAAAGACACAAGCCAAGTGTAGAGCACCAACACCGCCTAAATCCAATCATGAAAGAGCTGGTAAGAAAAGAAATGATTAAGTGGCTTGATGCAAGTATTGCATTTCCAACCTCTGATAGCCAATAGGTAAGCCCCATCCAATGTGTGCCTAAGAAGGGGGGGGGGGTTACTGTCGTGGTTAATGAAAATAATGACTTGATTATAGATAATTAAACAATGCCACCCGCAAGGACCACTTTCCCCTCCCATTTATTGACCAAATTCTTGATACATTAGCTGGACAAGAATACTTTTGTTTCCTTGATGGCTATTCAGGGTATAATAAGATTTCTATAGCCCCAGAGGACAAGGAGAAGACAACATTTACATGTCCACATGCCACATATGCGTTCAAAAGAATGCCCTTTGGTCTCTGTAATGCACCTACGACTTTTCAAAGGTGTAAGATGGCTATTTTCACTGACATGTATGAATGATTTGTAGAAGTATTCATGGATAATTTTTCTGTGTTTGGGTATCCTTTTGATAATTGTTTAATGAACCTTGATTAAGTGCTTTCTAGGTGTGAAGACAAACTTGGTGCTAAACTAGAAAAAGTGCCATTTCATAGTCCGAGGAGGTATATTCTTAGGGCACAAGGCGTCAAAAAATGGTCTATAGGTGGACAAGGCAAAGGTAGAGGCGATTAAAAACTTGCCCCCACCAACATCTGTGAAGGGCATTCGCAGTTTCTTGGGCCATGCAGGTTTTTATCGTCGTTTCTGTATACAGTAGAAATCGACGGCCCGATTTCACGAGCATCACGGCATCTCGAGGGTTTCCAGTGTTCGACTCCGAGAATCCTCGACGCTCGATTTTGAGATAGTATGACTTTAGGATGTTATGAGTGATGACCGGCCCCGGGACAATGTGAATCACCGGTCTTGGTGATTCAAGGTGGAGTTCCCAAGGCACGTGACTAGAGCTGACAAAGCCTAGTGAACTAGTCTGAAAACGAATCAAGGCATTAGGTGGCTATACCTGCCCCATATCTTTGTAATTAATGCTTTTGTACTATGTTCTCCCTCATATATAAAGGGGAACCCTTGTCATTTCTAGAGACCGGTTGCTCCATATAAAAATACGCAAGAACATTCTCTCTGCCCTCTAACATATTCTCCTGAGTTCATTGCTTCATTTATTGCTTACATTCATTGTGTTCTATTTATTGTTCTTCATTTATTGCTTATTATTGGCCATAAAGAGCCGTCACTGATCTCATTATAACTGTTAGTCGCCCATCGATTACCCTCGATAACTCCCAGCCGAGCATCCAACTCGACCTCGAGGCCCCGAATAAGCAGCCTCGAGCCCCCGACCGACAGTAATTCGGTTTGGTTAATATCTCATTTTCAAGCTCTTATCTCGCTTCTAAGTCTTTCACAAAGCATCAACTGCTTAACAACCAGCATAAAAATAGATCATGTATTTTTAGAATCCCACAATCAAATTTAATTGTTATTACCATTTTCACGGTAAACAGTTGGGCACCCACCGTGAGGCTAAAAATAATAGTGATTATTTCTTGCTGGTTTAACCACGTAGCGCAAGTTATCTTTCACACTTTTTCTTGTCCAAGATCTTTGATTTCAGGTCAAATGTCTAACTCAGTAAACACAGGTGAAAACATCAACCTTGAAGACCATGGAGAAAATGGCTTTGACGTCCCAGGTGTGGGTGTACCACCACAAAACCCTGAGAACGCACCGGAACTGATTCCCGTGGATGCGGTTTCACGCGACGCTCAACACGTCGAAATAAGCTCCCACACCAACAGGAGCATACACCAAGGCGGCCAAGAAGAAGCCCAGAAAACCCCAGCTCGGGAAGAACGGGAGGTTAGTCTTCATGTTATTTTTGAAATGTTGCAGGCACAGCAGCTGGCTATTGCTTAGCTGCAAAGTCACTAGAAAACTCCTAGCACGGTAGCACCGAGGACGGCTCCCCCGGCCGAGCAGGTATCGGAGAGATCAAGCAATAATGGGTCGGCAGCTGACCCCGCCGTCATAAAGATGCTCGAGGACCTCACGAGGAGGATTGAATCGGGCGAGAAGAAAATAGAGGCCAACGACAAAAAGGTCGAGACCTACAATTCCAGGGTCGACCAGATCCCGAGAGCACCCCCGATCCTGAAAGGTATGGATTCGATAAAGTTCGTGCAGAAGCCGTTCCCGCAAGAAGCGGCTCCGATACCCATTCCGAAGAAGTTCAGAATGCCAGACCTCCCGAAGTACAACGGAACCTCGGACCCCAATGAGCATGTTACTACTTACACCTGTGCGGTAAAAGGCAATGACCTGAGGGACGATGAGATCGAGTCCGTCCTGCTGAAGAAGTTCGGGGAAACACATTCTAAAGGGGCGACGATGTGGTATCACAACCTGGCCCCAAACTCAATAGATTCATTTGCTATGCTGGCGGATTCTTTCATAAAGGCACATGCTGGTGCCATCAAGGTAGCAACAAGGAAATTCGACGTTTTCCAGATTAAGCAGAGGGATAATGAGATGTTGCGAGAGTTCGTATCTCGCTTTCAAATGCAAAGAATGGAACTACCACCAGTCTCCGATGACTGGGCAGTATAGGCCTTCACTCAAGGTCTGAACGAACGAAGCTCGGTGGCTTCGAAACAGCTGAAACAGAACCTAATCGAGTACTCGGCCGTAACCTGGTCGGATGTTCATAGCCTATATCAGTCGAAAATCAGGGTCGAGGACGACCAGCAAGGGGCCCGCTCGGGCTCGGTATACCGAAGCAGGCTTCTGGCAAAAGAGCAAAAACCAAACAAAGAAAGGTACCAGCCATACATCAAAGACAAAAGGAACGCCCCGAGGCGTAACATACCCCGCGACGATCGAAGGATGGACCGAGGACAGATTCCTCGGGGACTCGTCAACAGAGCCAGATTTGATAGGCACACAGGGCCAATAGAGGCACCTCGCTTGTCAGAATACAACTTCAACGTCGATGTATCAGACATCGTGTTCGCCATCAGTAAAATCAGAGACGCCAGGTGGCCCAGGCCCGTACAATCAGACCCCTCACAAAGGAACCATAACATAGTGTGTGAATTTCACAACACGCACGGGCATAGGACCAAATATTGCCGGCAACTCCGGGAAGAAGTATCCCGATTACTCAACAAAGGTCACCTCTGGGAATTCCTCAGCGACAGCCAAAAATCAGTTCCGGGAAAGAGAGGCGGCCAAGAAGAACGAAATGAATGAGCCGCAGCATGTCATCCACATGATCTTGGGAGGCATTGATGCCCTACAGGAGCCCATGATGAGAAGAATATAATCCATCACCAGAGAAAAGTGAACTCGGGGCTACGTACCCGAGGATGCCCTCACATTCAGCGACGAGGACATCGAGACCTTGTCTCAACCTCACAATGACGCACCGGTAATCTCCTTCTTTGAAAATTCACTTCAAATTAAACGTGTACTTGTGGATCCAGGCAGCTCGGCCAATATTATCAGATCGAGGGTGGCAGAGCAGCTCGGACTGCTTAACCAAATCGTACCCGCCTCTCGAGTCCTCAACGGATTCAACATGGCAAGCAAAACAACGAAAGGAGAAATCACGCTCTTAGTCAACGTGGCCGGCACAACCCAAAATGCCAAATTCCATGTCATCGAGGAAGACATGAGGTACAATGCCTTGCTCGGAAGGCCGTGGATACACTGCATGAGAGCAGTGTCATTCACCCTCCATCAAATGATGAAATTCCTGACAAAGGGTGGGATCAAAACCGTCTACGGGGAACAGTATGCT